TGTGCCCTAAAGCCAATCATATGATGATACTTTACGGACATTTCACATGTTAAACTAATCTAGTTTTAATATAAAGGGCAAAGATTATTGTTTGAGCCGTCTCATATAAATGTTATATGCTTAAACGATAAAGTCCAAGGAATATGTGATTGGGAGAATGTAATCTAATGAAAAGTTAGATTCATGAGACCATTCTTTCGTAGACACATCCTAAAATGTTCCTGATCATAGGATTGCCAATTGGGCATTGACAGTCCGTTAAGATCGGTACGTGCTATGTCTTCTCTCAGGGAGAGTGACTAGTCTCGAGTCATTGGTGTGTGTGACATCAAGACAAGTACGTAGGTGCTCAATAGAGAATGAGTTCACTGAACGTGATCAACGAAGAGTTCTCATATTCCATGTCACATGAGAACTCATGGTTGGGATAATGCAAAGTAGTCCTTTGACCTGAGGCATCACAGTTGTCTTGTGGTTAAGTCCTTGATCTTTGATTATGTCAAAGTCACCCCATCGGGGTGTCCACGGCATCGTTGGGGTTAAGCCACTTAGCCATGGAGGCAAGTGAATGCGCAACAAGGGATCTCTAACCTTCAAACCGTTGAGGGAGAATACTCTATATGATATGATTTGGAATCTCTGGCCAGAGTATGAATGAGATTTAGGAAAAGTCGTTCCAAATCACATTCAAGGTAATCATATAAGCAAACGAATCACATTGGATAGTAGACATGAGTAAATAAACTATCAAACCAAACAATGTGGTCAAGAGTATTAGTATTAGAGAAAGGACCGTATTGCATTTGTAATCCCGAAACTGAATAGGTTCTCTCCACCTCTTCTGATTAGCTTGGGTAACCATGATATGCTGCTAGGTGTCACTCATGGTTTGTGGAAGCCCTAAACGTGTGTATAATCACTAAAGGGAGAATTGAAAGTAAGTTTCAATTCACAATCGATTTAAAATGGTTTTAATCGCCCACTGCCTCGCTAAAAGGAACCTAATGGATCGTACACACCGTAAAAGGTAGAGATTGGAAGATTAAACGGAAATGAGTAAGAATGATTAAATGGTTTAATCATTTAATTATGGCAATGATTAATTAATATGTTAATTAATCAAACGAATAAGTTCGTTAAAGACCTCGGGATAGTTTTTGGACCTTAAGGCCCAATGGGCTTCGAACGTCAAGCCCATTAACTTAAATTGTATGACAATTTAATGAATAAAGATTCATTAAAGGCCCAAAAGCCCAAACATCCCTAAATGGCCGGCCATATTAGATGAATTAGGGTTTTTGGTTCTTGTTTAGGTTACTTTAAAGAAGTGACTATATAAAAATGACTTTTATAGCCAAAATTCATTAAGGAAAAATTAAGGGTTTATTTTTGGGGGAAAATTGGTGAGAATTATCTCTCCATTTTTCTCTCTAAAGAGGCCAACACCCTTGGAGGGTACATCTAGCAATCCTACTACTCCAAGGTCACTCATTTCTTCTACAATCAAACCTTGGTGAAGAGACTTAGAGGTTCTCCTATTTTGGGAACTTGGAGAAACCTATTTTTCCATCCAAATCCATGGATCTAAGAAGCAAGGAATGAAGGCCCTATCTCTTTGGGTGATTAGCCTTTGCTTATGCAAAGAGGAATCTACAAAGGTAATAATATTTCAACTCACTTTGTTTTGAGTTGATTATTGGTTCACCAATCTACTAGGCTTTGAATTTCATGGTAATGTTTTGTTTTTGAGTGCATGCAAGCATGATTCCGCCTTTAATTGTTAATTGCATGCTATATGATGTTGCTCAAATGAACATGTTTTTCAAAATAAATCCTTCAAAACGTCCACCTGGACTCCAAATCGAGCTGTGCTAGTCAACACCTAGAGGGTGACAAAGCCATAAAGTGTAGTGATGTAGAAATGTGAATAAATTTAAACCTAAAAGTGCCTAAATACAAGAGTGTGCTGTGAGCAGGAATGAACCCAATTCACACGTGATAACAGAGCATAAGTACAGTACAGTACAATAAGGTGAGAAATTATACAATCGAAGGTAACCGTCTACCCCAAGATTTGCCAAGAATCCTTGTCGATATGAAAGCTCAGCTACTAAAACCTGGAGGGGCAAAAAACAAGGGTGAGTGGGCCTGAAAATAAAGTTTTAATAAAAACCTTTGAAAATGTTATAACCCCTCGCCGTAAATCATGTATAGTTTCCAAAATATACATACTATGTATAGTATGAAAATACTTATCGTAGCCTCCAAAACGTAAATAAGGATGACATCCCAAAATTACAAAATCTCAACAGTAATATAAGTAAAATCAGGTGCTCAACAAACTATGTTAGCACAATAGTCGGAGTCGCCTCAAGCGACCTGTACGGCTGAACTAATGCTCATCAATCTATGTTAGCACACGAGTCGGAGTCGCCTAATGCGACATGTACAACAGGATTGGATGTAATCATAATATACTCTCTAGTGCTACGATCACGTGAAGACTGGCGATAAATTACGGTCACCTACGAATTAGAGTCGCCTAATGTTACCTGTACGACAAGACTGGCATCTACTTGGATCCAAGGCGAGCGTGCGGTGCGGAGGTGAACATATACGTGAAGGACTGATCCTGGCTTGGGGCGAGCACTAACACCGGGGTGCATCAATGATGAACAGACTACGTAAATATAAGCATGCCATAATAATTCAATAATTCTAATCAACATAATAAACTTACCTACGCATCCTGTAGGATTATTTAGGCAACATTTCTTATAACATTATTTAATCATGGCATAAAAGATTATAAGCATAACTGTGCATCCCGTAGGATTTATGATAACTTCATAATTTTCAGTAATTTCGCTAATTCTTATATACTTTAGTCTAAACTAGGCGTACATAAGAAATTATTTTCCAAATGCATAAATGGAAACTATCAATCATATATATATATACACTATAAAAAGGGAAAGACCCACTCAACTGAAGTCTGCGCTACAACTCCCTAGCACAAATATCGAGACGTCATTAACGATCGTCGCCTAGAATAAATATCAAATCATGTCTCATAATTCTTATCGATAGAACACGTAACTTACATAAAACACATCCCCAAGGACATTCTAGAATGATTTGAAATTTGTTCTAGGCGACGATCGTTAGTGACGCCTCAATATTTGTGTTAAGGAGTTGTAGCGCGGACTTCAAGTGAGTGGGTCTTTCCCTTTTTATAGTGTGTATATATATATATATATGATTGATAGTTTCCATTTATGCATTTGGAAAAGAATTTCTTACCTACGCCTGGTTTAGACTAAAGTTTATAAGAATTAGTGAAATAATGGAAAATTATGAAGTTATCATAAATCATACGGGATGCACATGTATGCTTATAATCCTTGATGCCATGATTAAATAATGTTATAAGAAATGTTGCACTGTTGCAAAATGCCTAAATAATCCTACGGGATGCGTAGGTAAGTTTATTATGTTGATAAGAATTATTAAATTGTTATGGCATGCTTATATTTACGTAATCTGCTCATCATTGCTGCACCCTGGTGTTAGTGCTCGTCCCGGGTCAGAGCCAGTTCTTCACGTGTATGTTCACCTCTGCACCGCACACTCGCCTTGGATCCAAGTAGGTGCCAGTCCTGTTGTACAGGTTGTATTAGGCGACTCCGATTCGTAGGTGACCATGATTTATTGCCAGTATTCACGTGATCGTAGCACTAGAGCATATGTTATGATTACACTCAGTCCTATCATACAGGGTCACATTAGGCGATTCCGACTCGTGTGCTAGCCTAGATTGATGAACATTAGTTCTGTTTATACCATATTTAGGGCCTCGTATTTAGATCTCGTACAAATACTCGAGGGACTTAAATGTAATTATGTAATAAAGGAATGGGCAAATATGTAATAAGTGAGGAGTCCTTATTCTATAAAAAGAACTCCTCACCCTCACAATGAGGGGGCCAATTCCTAGGCCCTCTCATCCTCAGAAACTCTCTCATCCTCAATACTTTCAGAAATACATAATCAGTGTGGATGTAGCCCAAACCTTGGGGTGAACCACGATACATCTTGTGTTATTTACATTTCTTGCTGATTCACGATCGGATTTACGTTGTTCCAAGACCTCTGGTTTTGTGCATCAACAAGTTTAGTCGTACATGTCACATTAGGCGACTCTGACTGGTGTGCTAGCATAGTTTGTTAAGCACCTGATTTTACTTGTATTACTATTGAGATTTTGTAATTTTGGGATGTCATGTCTTATTTACGTTTTGCAAGCTACGGTAAGTATTTTCATACTATACGTAGTATGTATAATTTGGAAATTATACATGTTTTACGGTGAGGGGTTATAACGTTTTCAAAGGTTTTTATTAAAACTTTATTTTTAGGCCCACTCACCTTTGTGTTTTGCTCCTCCAGGTTTTAGTAGCTGAGGTTGCATATCGATGAAGATTCTTGGGCAAATTTTGGGTAGACGGTTACCTTCGATGGTATAATTTTTTATCATATTTTAGTGTACTGTACTTATGCTCTGTCATCACGTGTGAATTGGGTTCATTCCCGCTCACAGCGCACTCTTGTATTTAGGCACTTTTATGTTTAAATTTATTCACATTTCTACATTTTAGGTTTAAATTTATTCACAGTTCTACATCATTTTACTTTATGACTTCGTCACCCTCCAAGTGTTGCCCAGCACAATTCGATTCGGAGTCCAGGTGAACATTTCGGGTCGGGGTGTGTTAGAATTTGCTTTCCACCAGATTTGAACCTAAGATATTTCACTTCCAAGTAAGGATGAATATCATTAGACTGTAGTACTGAGTGATTTAAAAAACAAAAAAAAAAAAAGATTGAGCAGAGCATTTGTGAAAATAGGTGGCTTAATCTCAACAGTAGGATGATATTGGACTGTCAAGATTAAAAAGGCTTGTATGTACAGTCGAGCACAAACCGAGTCTTATTTAATAAGTTGCGGGTTTTACACACGAGGATTGAGCAGAGCATTTCATTAGGGTTTAAGCTAAAATCTCCCTCAGAAATGGCGTCTCTCATGGCGATTCGACGCGCACGAAGCCCTTTGCTGTCTCCTTTCTTAAAGTTACGGCCTCTTCACCCTTCTCATTTCTCCTCCTTTCACGGCAACAACACCACCGCCATCCCAACCCTAACATCAGCGAAAACCCTAAGCACCTCCGCCGTCCCAAATGAGCACCCGAGGCCTCCTCAGCAACAACCCCCGCCGTCCGATCCTAGGTATTTCAATGACCAGGCGAACCTTAACCAGTGGAGCCCAGAAGGTCAGGGATACGGCAACCCGAACCAGTGGAATTCGCAGACCCAGGGGCCTGGGAATCAGTTCAATTATCAGGGTCAGAACCAGAGCTATTCCAATCGGGGATATCCTAATCAGGGTTCGGACTATCCCAATCGCGGATATCCTAACCAGATTAACCAGAATCAGAGCTACCCACAACGCGGAAACTCGAATCAGTGGAGTCCGGCTCAGGGGCAGGGGAAGGGCACTCCTCAGTATCAAAACCCTAACCAGGTGAATCCTCCCCCTCCGAGCCCCAATTTTCAGCAACCCAGAAGCCCAAATCAGTGGAACAATCCCAATCAAGGATACCCACAACCTGGAAACCGTAATCAGTGGAGCCCACCAGCTCAAAACCCTAACCAGTGGAGCCCCCAATCTCAAAACCCTAATCGGTGGAGCCCACAACCTCAAAACCCTGCTCAGGCTGTGAATCAAACCCCGGAAGTTGTGCCCCGTTCGATCGATGATTTGAGGAGGTTGTGCCAAGAGGGAAAGGCTAAAGAAGCCCTTGAATTGATGGATAAGGAAGGGGTCAAGGCTGATGCTGATTGCTTTCGTTCTTTGTTTGAGTTGTGCGGGAGATTGAAGTCGCTCGAGGACGCAAAAAAGGCTCATGATTTCTTTTTGCAGTCTACCTGCAGGGGTAATCGTGAGTTAATCCATAAAATCATTGAAATGTATAGAAAGTGTGCGAGCATGACTGATGCACGGAGAGTGTTCGATCATATGCTTGAGAAGAATATTGATTCTTGGCATTTAATGATTAATGGGTATGCGGATAATGGGTTAGGAGATGATGGATTGCAGATGTTTGAGATGATGAGGGAGAAAGGGTTGCAACCCAATTCCGAAACTTTCCTTGCAGTATTCTCAGCTTGCGCTAGTGCAGATGCGGTGGAAGAAGCATTTATACATTTTGAGTCGATGAAAACTGAGTATGGAATTTCTCCAGGTGTGGAGCATTATATGGGAGTTTTAGATGTGCTTGGAAAATGTGGTCATCTTTACGAAGCAATTGATTATATTGAGAAGCTCCCATTTGAGCCTACAGCGCCAGTTTGGGAGGCATTGAAAAGTTATGCTCGGATTCATGGAGATATTGATCTTGAAGATCATGCTGAGGAGTTAATGGTTGCTCTTGACCCGTCAAAGGCTGTTGTGAATAAGATCCCAACTCCACCACCGAAAAAGCATACTGCTATTAGCATGCTTGATGGGAAGAGCAGAATTAGTGAGTTTAAAAATCCGACACTCTACAAGGATGATGAGAAGTTAAAGGCTCTTGCTGCGATGAAAGGAGGAGGTTATGTGCCAGACACAAGATATGTCCTTCATGACATTGATCAGGAGGCCAAGGAGCAGGCCTTGCTTTATCACAGTGAGCGATTGGCAATCGCGTATGGTCTCATCAGTACTCCGCCAAGGCAAACTCTTAGGATCATCAAGAACCTCCGCGTGTGCGGTGACTGCCATAATGCCATTAAGATCATGTCGAAGATTGTTGGAAGGGAATTGATCGTCAGGGACAACAAACGATTCCATCATTTCAAGGACGGAAAATGCTCGTGTGGGGATTATTGGTGAAGAGCATATGTCACCTCAGAGCTGTCTAAAGAGTTCTTCCCAGTTGCAGTTTGGTTTGTAAAAATTTCGAACAATGCCGAGCTATATACGGGATCCTTTGCAGACCAGTACCCGTGCTTCTAGTTGGTAGGAGATTAACCATCCACTGCTTGTTTCGACATACGTACTGAGCTATATATGCATTGCATTATCTATTTGTCAAAATGCCAAATCACATTTGCTTATCCTTTTTCGGCCTTCTGATTGCTTTCTTCCTATGAGATGCTATTGGGTTAATGATGTTTTGAAGCTATTAGAACATACTTTCAAAATATGTCAGGATGGTTGTTTCTCTAATTTTATGGTGCACAGATGGTGTTTTGGTATTTAGTTAAATTGCATGAATTTTTTTGGTCTAGCGGTACTTTTTCTGCTCAATATTAGAAGACGTCCCGAATTCGAATTTACCGCCCCCATTTATAAAACAAGAAAAGAGGGACTATGGCATGATAGATGACCAGTGTCCAATTTAGATGATGTTCATAAGACTTTATTTTGATGAGATTCTTAGCTCTCTCTAGTTGTATATCCCCTTGTGTCTTGATCATGTGATGAGCGAGATAAACACAAGGCAAATTATACCACCAGTTACAGGGCATATTATCTCGAAGAAAATAAGAGAAGCGTTTGTTGTCTTTGGGAAACAACGTAATCTCACATTATGCTACTACCATTCACCATACAAGGCCAATTACACACTAAAGTGCTTCACATGGATTTACATAAACACGCACAAACACAAATGAAAATTAGGTCTCTATTGCTCTATGCTGGTCTCATGGAACGAGTCATCATGGTCATGAACTCATCTAGGTCAACCATACCATCCCCATCAGTGTCAACCGCTCTCACCATCCGCCGGCAGTCTTCAAGGTTGCACCTCTCCTCCAACCCCCTCAGCACTTCCATAACTTCTTCTGCACTTATCTTTCCATCGCCGTTCAAATCAAACATCCGAAAAGCATTCTGGATGTCCATCGTTCGAATCCCTCCCTTCTTGTGTACTTCCATGAACTCCTTGAAATTGATAAAGCCATCCTCATCCAGATCAACAAACTTGAAAATCTTCGGCACTTCTCCAATCATGTTTCCCTTTCCCAATGCTCTCAGTATCGCCTTGTACTCCGCCTGAGATATCTTCCCGTCTTTGTTGGAGTCAAACTTTTCAAATACTTTCTTCATCTCATTGGGATTTGGCTCGAAAGTAGGTGCTATGCCGGAGTATTGCCTGTCTCGAAAGGAAAACATCTGAGATGGTTTGCGCAGAAACTTCCTCTTTGATAGGTTGTACTGGAAGTCGAGGAAGTTTGCATTCGCCATATCCGCCACAGCTGATCAAGAAGAACTACGAAAATTGAACTTCGATACAACAGTCCAGGTAGCCGTCAATACGAGATTGCGGAAACCGGGTGTCTCCGATCTTTATATACTGAACACAACAATTTGATTCCTTTACCAATTTGTGGTAACTCAAGAACAAAAGATTCCAAGGTGATAACTGACGGAAAAAGCTAGGAATAGATAAGAAAGAATACATTCTTTAGAAAAGCTACAAGCAACTACAATCTCCTTTCTCCTCCTCAAAACTCTCCTTTTGAAGAGTGGTTTACTTTTTTCCCGGTATACCAAACTAATCGTAAAATATTTCCTGGTATACCAAAAAATCTCGTAAGAAATAACTCCGTTTAGCTCATGGTGGTTTTCCGTTATCCAAATCCTCCATCACTTCAATGTCCTTGCGAGCTGTTATCTTCTGTACATATCCTGCAATGGTGAATGTCTCGGTAAGAAGTCGTAGGGTTGTGATTCAAAGCCACAAGGGTTCCGAAAGAATCAGTAAAGTTACAAAGCACGCATTAAACGCAAAAATGAGGACCCGAAGGAATAAGTAAAGTTTCCTTTCGAGCTTTGAACAATCTTTCAAGCCCTTTAAGCATCCTACCCATAAAGGCTTCCTTCATAAAGTAAATATCAAAGTTAACGTTTACACATCATCAAATATCCCCTCATATATCTTCCCTTTTACATTGCAACAAAGAATGGCGCTCAACTGGTTGCCAAACATTGTCCTTGATTCTAGTTTTAGCACTAAACCACCATCCAATAGAAAAGAAAGTTGGCAAAAAAGAGAGGACGACAACAACAACAAAGCCTTATCCCACTAAGTAGTGTCGGTTATATGAATCCTAAAACGTCATTGCCTTCGGTTTTGTGCCATGTCTTCCGTTAGATCCAAGTAGTCCAAGTCTTTTTTAAGAGTCTCTGTCCAATTCTTCGTAAGTCTTCCTCTACCTCTTTGGTCCTGAGCCTCTGTCTCGTAATCGCATCTTTTAACCGCAGCATTTGTAGGTTTTAGTGCAGAAAAAGAGAGAATTGAAAGAAAAAAAAAATTGTACAGACATGCTTATGTTAGTTAATTTAATTCCGTAAATCTTGAGATGATATATTTTGTCCTTCACCTAAGTTGCAAACTTAACTTAAAGAAACATTTGAACGAGAACCTAATTTGAGGACCGGACTCAAAAACTTACACATCAACCAATACTACTCATGATTACTAGAGGAAAATCTCAACCAGCCAACAGGAACTGGTTTCTCGCTTCTAATTGTCTCTATAAATTCTATTGAATATAGTCACAGATGTATAGGTGGTTGAGATTTTCCTTGATTTTCGTGGGATTTTATCACTTATCACTTCTAGAGTTGTTTTTCACTGTTTTTAAGTGTTTTTAGTGTGTTTTGAAAGAAAAATACGAAAATTTGAAAAAAAAAATTAGAAAAAGTTTTGAAAAACCCAAAAAGAGTCGTTTTAGAGTGTTTGTATCTTAGGGTACCTTCCAACACAATGATGAGGATTTGATTTTTAATTGCATGACTGTTAAAGAAAGCTGCAAACATGGGTGAAAGTTTGATATGCTCTTTGGTTAATGCTTAGTTGTAGTTATCATTAACGAATTCGCATGTAATCACAAAGGAAAAAGATCAGTTTTTGTAACATGCTTGAAGAAAGGAACTCAAATTAGTGCTACAACCCTGAGAGACTTGAGCCTATTCCTTGTTTGGAGAGTTATTAATCTGTGATGTTTTTGTTTTCTAAAGTCGGTGCATGATCTCATTATTTCTTTGCTTGGTTGCTACTTAGAATGCGTTTTCATCATTTTAGTTCCAAATACTAGAAATGATGCCCGTTTCATTCAAAGCTTAAAATTGAGTGCATAACATATAACAAGATGAAGTTGTTTAGTAGTTACCACCAGAGCCAAAAAGCCTTAATCCCTTGCATATGTTTTGTAGGTTTAACCCCTTTGAGCCTAATTTCTTTGTTAGCCACATTATTCTTACCTAGCCTAGAATATGACTATCCATACCCTTGTTCTTGAAGTATAGTGGAGCATGACTTAGAGGGAATTCCTTTTGATCAAACATATTGCAGAAAACAAGTGTGGGGGAAGGTTGTTTCCAACGAAAAAAAAAACGTGAAAAAAGAAGAAAGAAAAAAAAAAGAAGAAGAAAAAGTTGAGAAAAGAAAGGAGAAGAGTTCTAAATAAGTGAGAATGAACTCACAAGTATTGGTTGTTGAAGAAAGGGTTCAAAAGTTTGAATCTGGCCCTAAGTGTTTTGTGAATCTCCCTTGTGTTTAAAGTTGGTTGCTGCATTCAAAAGTGAATTCTAAGTGTCAATTCCATTACTTTGCTTACTATTGCTTTAAGAACCTTTGTTTATCCTTGACCATTCTTTGTTAGCCAATACCTTAGCCCCGTTACAACCCTTAGACTTCAATCTTGATGGTTGTGTGTTCGATAATGTGGAGGTTGGGATTGGTATGAGCATATGGAATCCCTGGTTCTCACGTCTAAGTAGTGATATTCCGTTCATGAGATCATATATATACATGCATTAATAATTCCAGAAAGTGCCTTCTTTGATTATAACATATGTGAGTGCTAGTCTACATGTTTACATCAATCTTCTCACATATACTTAGTATAGGGAGTGTAGTCAGAAAATCTGTGTGAAAATAGAGAGTATACCCGGTGAGGAATTGAGGGAATTCTCTAAGGCATGTTACTACATTCAAAACATTGTTTTAAGTGATTAAATGCGATCTAGTGAGTAGTGACTGCGATTAAGTGTGTGCTCGAGGGTAAGGATGACTAAAATCTATGTGAGTAGTGATTTTTAATGTGTCATGTTTCATTGGAAATCCCTGAGGCGAATGTTGGAAGGTTTAGGTTATGTTTTGTTTGTTTTGTTTTGCTCGAGGACTAGCAAAAGCTAAGTGTAGGGGAATTTGATAGAAGCATATTTATACGACTTAGTTAGCGTGTTTTCTTGCATTTTCATAGCTATTTTCTATTTATTAGAGTGTTTTAAGCTATTTTCATGTGTTTTTAGGTTCAAATGACAAAGTTGGCAAGAAAATGGAATTTGGAGCATTTTAGAGCAGTTTTGGGCCAAGAATGGATAGAACATGTATGGAGCAAGGTGGATGGACGTTTTTTGAGTTCAAAAGGCTAGAAATATGCTAAGGAGATGAAGAAAATAAATTCAAGACAAAGAAGATAAGGAATCAGCGAAAAGGAAGGAACATTATCCAAAACATTATCCAACCTTATCTTATCCAAACTAACCTTATCTTATATTATCCTAACCTAATCTTTTGCTACCTTAATTCCAGTTGCAAGGGGGGATCAATTGCACATTAAATCACCTAAATACCCCTTTCCTATTCCTGATCCTAAGTGATGCCGCACCTTTTATTGTTTTTCTTCTAGAAATCTGCCAGATATCCCCTTCTAGAAGTTTTGTGCGAATTTCCTAGTCCTTTTTCCTTAGGATTGTGTAATCCTTCTCCTCCACAACTTTTGTGCTGAAACCCTAGCCTATAAATACATATTTTCTAACCCTATTTTCGCACCACACACACAAGAGCCAAAACATCAGAAAAATACAATTGTGCCGCAGCATTGCAAGGAAGGAAGGAGAGGAGACCTTTGGAGCCGTGCCTACCATTCAACGCTTTGGATTGTTGGAGCGTTTCTAGATGTATTCTATCTATTGTTTCAATGTTTAAATTTAATTGTCTTTGTTTAATTGTGAACATGATGAACTAAATTTGTTTTAGTTAGAGGTGAATTCAAAGCCATGAACATATATGTGATATGAATTGATTTCTTCTAGTTATGATTTCATAAATCATGAATGCAATTTACTTATCTGTTTGATTGATAACTTATCTTGTGTGTTGATTGAGGATGCATACTTAGTTTGCATGCATGAATTTGAAACTAGGATATAAGGGAATTTCACCTAATCGTTATGAACTTATA